AATAATAATAATAATAATAAAAATAAAAATAAAAAACCGATATTGTCAGTCAAAGTGTTCCATTGTCTCTCAAGTTTGAACAATGATCATCAGAATTTGATAGACCAGAACCACTAATCTTCTCATTTTGATAGCCCAAATCATCTCTTCTAATATATCTTTTGCCAACACTACCTCCCATTGACTTCTCGGACACTGAGGCCAACCCCCGAGTTGTCATGCTATTATTGCTGATGGCATCAACATCTCTGGTACCAATATAAAGGCCCCTACTTCCAAGGGAAAGGATGTTATTGTCCTTGCTGCTGGTGAGGACAGGAGGCAACACATCAAGAAGCTGCGGGTTGGGCCCGTTAGAGCTTCTGATGAGCATGCGAAGCGTCTCCCGCGCACCTTTTTCCACAACTGATTCTGCATCCGGAATGAGGGGTTCCACAAGACTTGGATTGAAGGGTGAAAGTACAGTTGATATAGCAGGGCCTGAACTGACCAAGTATCCTTGACCAGAGGAGCAAACATCAATAACTGGAATATGGACAATGGGATCACATATCATAGGCGTAAATGTTGGGATCTGCTGTGAAGTTGGCCTCGCCAATGGTAACCTCACCAAAGGCTCTGGCAGGAAAGGAGGAAAATCTACAGGGGGCTCGGATGGTTTCAATGGCCTGGTAGTTGATAGAAAAGAAGAAAGCGGAGGTAGAGATACTGATTCAGTGATTGAAATGGCCAGCTGTGGCGTTCCAATAGGATATTGCAAAGTTGATGTTACAGGAGGACACCAGCAATAGTGAGGAGACAAACGAGATGAACTTGAGGGAACTCGAGCTTCCAGGCCTGAAAGGTACAGGTCAGTGGATTTCTCAAGTACATCTAGAAAACTCAAATGAGGAAACGCGTCAGCTCCAGTTGATTCAGAAAGCCTGTCCTTCTCAAAGCAAGTTAAACTAGGTGGATCTGCACAATTTGGAGAGGCAACATTTAGGCTGTCAACAACAGAAATGTAACTCTCCCCGGGCGAGCTCACTTTTTCTTTACTCCTTAATAAAGACAAGCTTCTCGGCAGACCTGTAGAAGAACTTGACCTGGGACTAAGACTACCCTGGTACATTAAGTTTGTCTTCGATCCTTGACTACCATTGTGCCGAAAACGAGAAGTCTTAGGAGATGTGAATGACAATCGCGACGAAGCAACCGAGTTATCTAGAGAAGGGGCATCTGACAAAACACGACTAGTTTGAGCACTATTCATCACTGATCCAGCCAAATAAGCTCGAAGGTGAATCGCAAAACAGTTGAGGCGCGACTCACTAATTCCAGTTAATTCAGCCAGTGAAGGCTTTTCTGCGAGAAAATTCTTCATCTACGCCCGGGAAGAAAAAAATGTTAGTAATTAGCTGCAAAAATAAGTGCACATGCAATAAATTACTTAACCGGTCTTACCTTTCTGAGCAGTTCACAGCCCAGAAGCTTAGATTTTTCAGAACACCAAAAATAAGAAATCTCACCAACTGCGTTCTTTAATAAGAAAGAACGTCCAGACTTGTCTGCTGAGATTTCTTCAATTTCTACACCAGAACATCGAGCCCCAGGGTTTGACGTTGCAAGCCTCTCCATACAACCATCATCTCCATTAAATGAGATGCGCAAGTTAGAAGTAGGCAAAAGAGTGAGATTTAAATGCCCTCTGTTGAAAGTAAAGAAATAAAGACATTTAGAAATAAAAATACGGAGGACAAAATTCAATCACATGAAATAATGTCATATTCATTGCAGCATATGCACATCCTTACGCCACAGTCCACGCTAACGATTCATAATAAATGATGAATATCAAAAAATTCACCAAACATAAAAAGTCATAGAAACCAATCTATTCGACTTTCTAGACGATGGGTGAATATTAAAGGGTATCATGTTATAGGCACAGACAGTAATAAATTAGTTTTTTCCTTATTTTCTTACCCCCTAGTTTAAAACTATTATTCAACAAAATAAGGAAAAAAAACTTCTAGAGTCAAGTGGAATCGTGCATGATTGCATCTTACAGAACTAACTGCCCATAAACACAATTAGCCAATATGAATAACCTCAAGTATACGTTATGCCAAATTTAGAGTACTTGTTGCTTACTCTGCTCTCCACCCTACCCAAAAATTTGTTCCAACTTGTGATCTGCATTGTCCCTTGGTTTCCTCCCAATTTACTAACTAGACGGTAAGCCCACTTTTGGTCATAAGGCTTTGATTAGGGAATATTACCGTATAAAGGAGAAGGAACCATGTCAATGCCTCACAACTCAAAAACTAAAAAGATTAAAGGAACATTAACAAGATATAAGTAGGTACAAAATAATTGAATGCATTTTCAATGGAGCTTTAAATACGCCTTGTAAACAATAGGGTGTCAAACCAACATCACTACATAAGGAACAGTAATAAAGCTATACTAGTTTGTAAATCTCAGTTTTGCTCTCCTCCTATCCCTCATACATCAAATTGACATTGAAACGAAGAGAACTGCATGTTCTGAAGCCCATAATATAATCTAAGCGATAGTTAAATGATTGCTAAACAAATGAAAGTATTAAAAGAACATACATAGGAAATAAAAACTTCATTTAGCTCAAATCTTAGCAATAAATTTACCATTACAAAATGCACTTATGAAAGTTAATTGTCATATAATTCCACATATACATTAAGTAAATTATACGTTGCCTAACAATAGAGAGCAGTCATCT